TAGTGATACTGCCTTGGCAACCTAAAAAGGGATCGCTATGAGTCAGATCTGACTCGATGGCACATAACAACATAACAACAACTATATCTATATCTATCTATCTATCTATCTATCTATCTATATACATATATGGCTAGTTGCAATATTTCTTCTCAGTACAGGTTTTGTACTGACATGCCTTAGGTTGGGCAAAAGGGATGCAAAGATTTTAAATAAAATATTCCCCAAAAATAATAAAAACTCTGCCATAGTGTCTATTCCATCTGCTGACTCATGGCAACCCCCATTGAGTTTTCAAGGCAGCTGTAAATCTTTACAGAAGTAGATTGCCTCATATTCCTCCTGTGGAGCCAGTAGTGCTGGGTTTGAACTGCTAGACTTCTGATTAGCAGCCAAATATCTTACCCACTATGCCACCAGAGCTCCTTAATAAAGTATATACGGAATAAAAAATGATGAATTTCACAGAGTTAGTTAAGTTCATAGGAAAGCTGGAATTCACAATGTAGTGAAACCAAACATACTTTACTTTTATAAGCAACATGACTTGGGTATCTTACTGCAGAGAGAATAACATGAGTATGGAATTGATGCAGAATAAGACTTTGTAGGAACAAGAAGAAATGAAATATTAAAGGGAGGAAAAGAACTTGGCTGAAATAGAAATGAAATGAAGCAGCCAACCAGATTTTTTTTTTTTTTTTTTTTAATAGTTGTTTGTGGTTTGGGTGAAAGTTTACAGAGTAAATTAGTTTCACATTCACCATGGTAAATGAATTTTGTTTTCTGACATTAATTGTTATCCTTTCAATATTGCAGCACTCTTCTCACTTTACCCCTAGGTTCTCCATTTCCATGTTCTGTTTTTTACTTTCCCTTTTTGCCTTCTGAGCTTTGTTTTGGGCAAACGCTGTCCTTTTGGTATCACATGATTGATTATTCTGAAAAGTACATTCCTCATGAGTGTTATTTTTCGCTTTATAGACCTATCTATTTTATGCTTGAAAGGTGATCTCTGGGAGTGTGTTCAGTTCCAGGTTTTGAAGTTGTCTGAGGACTGTATATCAGGGATTCTACCATTCATTTTTGGACCAATGATTTTGAAATTTTTCTACAATGTTTTCCCATTGTGTCCAGGACCTTTTACTGTGAACCTAATTAGAGTGGTCGGTAGTGGTGGTGGAGGCTGTGGTGACTTCATAGATTTTGAGTAGTGAGAGTGGAGTTGATGAAAAGTTTGAATTATAAGTAATGGGAAATGAAAGACTAAGATCTAGATGTATAAGAAGCTAGAGTAAGAGAGATGTTAATAAGTTTTGGGAGACAGGAAATTGTAAATGATTTCAGAAAAATACTTTGTAATCCAAAAATATTAAACTTATAGCCTTGGAATACATTTCTGAAATGAAACTTACATAGAGATGATTTGAATTAAGAAAGTTAAGGAATATTCTGTGAGGCAGTGGTTTTGGATGAAACCTTTGAACGTATAAGAATTGTTGGTAGGAGTTGGGGTAGAGAAGAAATCTCTGAACAAAGTGACAATATATTTAATACATAGATAAAATTCTGTGGCTGTTGGTAAAGAACAGAATTGATAGAAAGAATCATGAGGAAAGAGTAGAATATCACAAAATGTGAAAGAACAACTCACTCAGAGAGATTGTAGATTATAGTCAGGAAGCTGCTATAAGGAAGTGTTTTCTCATACTTACACTTTCATCCACAGCCCAGTGACAAAAAGATAGGTGTTTGATGTGGTTATTGTATAACCTTAAGACTGACAGTGGATTAACACAAAGTAACATGTAAAGTACAGTTTACCAACCTTTCTTTTGAAGACATTGCTATCTACAAAAGTAACAATGGGGCATCTACATAATTTAGTAATGATAAAAAATGGAAATGGCATGCATCAGATAAAATAAAATATTAGTGTATCTATGCAAATTTGAGAATCCAGTTACTGTATTAGAGGAGTGCTTAATAGTTAAGTATATTGTTATTGTTCATTGCCAGGGAGTTAATTTCAACATATGGCAAATCCATGTGTGCAGAGTAAAACTGTTCCATAGAGTTTTCAAGGATGTGATCTTTCAGAAACAAATCACCAGGCCTCTTAGTGGTTTTGAAGTGCCACATTTCATTAGTAGTCAAGGGTTTAGCCATTTGCACCCCCTAGTTAAAGTATACCAAAAACTCATAGCCACCGAGTCAGATCCAACTCATAGAGACTCCTCCTTGGGTTTCCAAAGCAGTATCACTATGGAAATAGATTGTCCAAACTTCCTTCCAAAATGTGCCTGGTGGGTTTGAACCACCACCTTCTGGTTAGCAGTCAAGTGCCTTAGGCATCACACCAACATATATGTAAACTAACGAAGGAAGAAACAACATGAAACAGAAGAAAGAGAATTTCAGTTGTTGTCCTACAGTCACTTTCCTAGACATCTTTGCTTGAGTGTCCAGTGAAGCGTTTCAGAAAAGAAAGACACTCAGTGAAGGATTTTGATAGGTATGGGAAAATATTACTATCTTCTCTACAGAAAGTAACACATATGAGCTGTTATGAGGAAGTGGACTGAAAACTCAGTCCACAAGCACTGGGCTCCGGAGGACTTCTAGGCTAGCCAGAGACTATATTAAGAGCTCACTAAGAGACCAAAAATCCTCACAACTGGACCAATGAGCAGCATCACAATAAATGGAGAGAAGATTGAGGTTGTCAAAGAATTCACATTGCTTGGTTCTACAATTGATGCCAATGGAAGCAGCAGTCAGGACATCAGACGACATGTAGCATTGGGAAAGTCAACTGCGAAGGAACTATTTCAAGTGCTGAGGAGCAAGGATATCTCCTTGAGAACTAAGGTGCGCCTGACACAAGCCATGATATTTCCAATCGCCTCGTATGCATGTGAGAGCTGGACAATGAATAAGGAAGACCGAAGAAGAGTTGATGCTTTTGAGTTGTGGTGCTGGTGAAGAATGCTGAAAGTACCGTGGACTGCTAAAAGAACTAACAGATCTGTCCTGGAGGAAGTGCAGCCAGAATGCTCCTTGGAAGCAAGAATGGCCAGACTTCGTCTCACCTATTTTGGTCATGTTGTAAGAAGGGACCATTCCCTGGAGAAGAATGTCATGCTTGGTAGGGTGGAGGGTCGACGAAAGGGGAAGACCTTCATCGAGATGGATTGGCATGGTGGCTGCGATGATGGGCTCAAGTATAGCAGGCATTGTGGGGCTGGCACGGGATCGGGCAGTGTTTTGTACTGCTGTGCATGGGGTCACTATGAGTCGGAAATGACTCCACAGCACTTAACAACAACAACAACAACAAGAGACCAAATGATAAATATTTAACCTCAGGGACAGGATACTAGTATATATCAATGCAAAACATATATTCTTACAAGAAGAAAGGAAGATGAAATAATAAAATCTGTCATCAAGGGTATAAATTTCAAAGCAGGAAGAAAATATTTCATTAAAAATGAAAGTTTTGAGTGGGTCAGAGTAAATATTATGATTGGTACTGTAAAAAATTGAAATCATAAAATCAAATAATTGTACAATTATTGTGGACAAAATAATATAATTGTCTTTTTAATTTGGAGAAAGAAATCATTCTTCTTGAAAGATATTAAAATTGGTCTGACTGAATATCTGTGTGAATATGCAAACGATATATCAAAAATAGGAGCCCTAGTGACACAATCGTTAATTATTTAACTGGTAACCTAAAGGTTTATGTATGGAACCCACCTAGCAGCTTCCCAGAAGAAATGACTTAGCAATCTGCTCCTATAAAGATTAGTCTAAGGAAACTTATGGGGATACTCTACTCTGTGGTACAGGGTTGCTATGAGTTGGAGTCAACTCAATGACACATGACAGCAAGAACATATCATAAATACAAGATGCAGTTGGAAAACTCAATCAAGCAGAGTCTGGGTGTTGCTTTGTCACACACACAAAAACACATTCTTGAGAATATCATGGTTTTCTACAATGTAATATTTTGCTCTTCTAGATTCGTTGGGAAGATGAAAAGGGGAAATCTAACAGTTATCAGTGAATTTGTCCTTCTGGGACTTTCCAGCTCTGCAGAGAAGCAACACTTCCTGTCTATACTCTTCCTCTGTATGTACTTAGTCATGGTGTTGGGGAACAAGCTCATCATCTTGGGCATTGGTTCTGACTCTTACATCCATTCTCCCATGTATTTCTTTCTTAGCAACTTGGCCTTTGTTGACATCTGTTTTACTTCCACTACAGTCCCACGAATGGTTGTGAACATTTTGACCAGTACACAGACTATCTCCTTTGCAGGCTGCCTCACTCAGCTTTTTTTCTTCATTTCTTTTGTGAATATGGACAGCCTCCTTCTCTGTGTGATGGCATATGATAGGTATGTGGCAATATGCCACCCTTTATATTATACAGCATTAATGAATCTTTGCCTTTGTGTCCAGTTGGTGGCTGGACTCTGGGTAGTTACCTATCTTCATGCCCTCCTACACACTGTCCTAATGGCACATCTTTCTTTTTGTGCTTCCAACATCATCCATCATTTCTTCTGTGATCTCAACCCCCTCCTAAAGCTTTCTTGTTCTGATGTCTCCATCAATGTAATGGCCATTTTTATAGTGGGAGGTCTATTGGCTCTCACCCCCCTTATCTGTATCCTCATTTATTATGGGTTTATCTTCTCCACTATTCTAAAGATAACATCAACTGATGGGAATCAGAGAGCCTTTTCTACCTGTGGCTGTCACCTGTCAGTGGTGGTGTTGTTCTATGGCACCTCCAGTGCTGTTTATTTCACCCCTTCCTCCTCTCACACCCCTCAGAGAGACCCTCTGTCAGCTATCATGTATACCTTGGTGACTCCGATGCTGAATCCTTTCATTTATAGTCTAAGGAACAAAGATATGAAGAAAGCACTTCAGAAAACATTGTGTAAGGGCAGAAATTTTATCCAAAGACATGATCTCATTGGTTGAATTAAACATATGAGTTTGATGGTAAAATAAAGAGTATTTGTAGGAGAAATAAGAGTGACTAAATTTTATTAAATGTCTCCTTTATGCTGGAATCTGTATTAACCACTCTGTATATAACATTTAATCATTTGATTAAAAAGATGAGATTTTAAGATCCATTTAGTTATACTTGACTGACCTTTTCCACACTTAAAAATCTCAGCTCTGGAATCCTTATAAATAACTGCTTGCCATTTACTATAAATACACACACATCCCATACACACCTCATATACACACACACACATAATCCTCAAAGTTGATAGTTTGAACCCACTCAGAGGTACTTCAGAAGGCAGAGCTGGCTATAAGCTTCCAAAAGGTCACAACTTTGAAAACCCTATAGAGAAGTTTTACTTAAACACATATTTTTTATATATGTGTTTATATATGTGTTTGAGTTTTTATAACTCAAAATCAACTCTATGACAAATAACAACAACAATACCAAACTTATCTAATTTAAAATGCTAATAAAATACAGATTCATAGAACTAAAAAAAAAAAAAAATTAATGAACATAAATAGCATTAAGAGGTAATTTGTAATTTATCAGCTGTAACCAGTAATAATAATTATTTGTGTTACACTTGTGCAAGTTAATTATTGCCTACCCCAAAGGCAAATTCGGGAGCTGTGGTAGCATAGTGGCTAAGACACTTGCCTGCTGACGGCTGGTGGTTCAAACCCACCAGCCACTCCTCAGAAGGAAGGTTGGGCAATCCTATTTCCGTAGTGATACTGCCTCGGAAACCCAAGGAGGAGTTGCTATGAGTCGGGTTTGACTCGAGGGCACATAACAACAACAACAACAAAAGGCAAATTCAGCCCTTCACTATGGATTTATGGGTAAGAAACAGCTCACGGTTGTGTGAATGATGGAATCTAAGCTACCTGTAATACCTATTTGCTCCACCTTTTGCTGAGCCACATCATCAGACAGATGAATTTTTATGAAACATTTGTGAGGTGATAATAGAATTTTCCAACTTTCATAGTTGTGTCATTTTAGCAAAAATTTTAGAGAAAAAAGGGGACAAATTATTGGCCATATCACTATTTTAATTTGGGGTGGCTATTAAGTGATTGCAAATTAGTATTTAACCTTTGGACTATGTCAGGGAAGAAATTACGCATGGACTCGAGTGAGTAATATTATTCCTTACTTGATAAAAAATTTATTGTTGATACAATATTGACAGTATGAGATGATTGGCTGCCAAACCTATGACAGACTTTTACAGTATTTGAAAACCTAATACAGACATCTATAAACTCTGATCACTTTTCTGCAAATAAACTTTTTCCTGTTATTCAGAATCAGTAGGTTTTGATTTAAAGAAGCCAGTATAAGGTGAGATTCTTTGTATATTCAAATCACTAAAATAAAACCAAAGAACAACACTTTCCATGAGTATGCACATGCTATTTGTGTTAATAAAATTCTCACATATACTTTTTTAGTATTAATTTATTACCTGTAACACTAATCATTGTAAATAATTTCCAATTATTTACAGTTTCCAATTCCATGCACTATAATGTCTGGCTTTAGCAACACTTTTTCTAAGTATTGTAGTAATAATATTACGGTGTCCTGCATGCTTTGAATATATTATCTGGGGCCACTGGTTTCCAGGCATCCTGATGACCATACTACAAGCTGAAAAAAATCTCCACAAATATGTATAACAATGTCACAAAAAGTTATATCTACTTTTTTTGATACAAAAAAAGAAAAAGAAAAACAAGCACCTTATTTAGGTAACAGGTGGCTAAAATAACCCTGGTGGTGGCACAATGATTAAAAGCATGGCTGCTAAACAAAAGGTCAGCAGTTCAAACCCACCAGTGATTCCACAGAAGAAATGACCTGGTGATATGCTCTTATAAAGATTACAACTGCATAAACCCTGTGGAGCAATTCTATCTCATCTTATAGTCTCTATGAGTTGGAATTGACTTGATGGCACACAATAACAACAAAATGTTTACATTTTTGTGCCAACTAACAAGAGAAAAAGCAAACATATATATAAAACCAAAACCAAAACCAAACTTCCTGCCATCGAGTTGGACCCAACTCATAGCAATCCCTCCTTGGATTTCCAAGGTGGTATTACTACAGAAGTAGATTGCCCCATCTTCCTTCCAAAAACATATGTATAGGATGAGGAAGTTTGTAATGTACAAAGATTCTGGCAAATTATGTTAATTATAGTACCTGAACAAGTGAAGAGAGGACAGAAATATGTATATAGTGAGGACTTATTTGATAAATGCTACACTAATTATTTATGGAGAATGCCAACAATATAAGGAAGCATAGTGGCCGAGGATATTTTTCATGTCAATGAAAAACTGTAAATTTTGGAAGTTGAATAGGGGATAGGTAGGCTGATTTTTGCTGCATTATAGGATCAAAGACACATATGATAGTCAAAGAAGTTTAATGCATTAATGATAGATCACAAGGTCTGATAACAATTCAGTGTGAATGGAGATGGTGTTACCTATCAAAGGTGGATGATGTTCAAGGATTGAATTTTGTCCCACAAATACATGTGTCAACTTGGCAAGGAAATGATTCTCTGTTTTATGTGGTTGTCCTCCATTTTGTGACTATGGTGTAGTAAATTACCTGGTATGGCTTTTCTAGCCATAAATCTTTGTAAACTCCATGGTAGAATTTGCTGTGAGCAACTGAGGACAACTGATTGTAAAAGTTATCCACCTGGGGTATTTCTGTTGGGCATGGCACAAAACAATGTTCTGGGAAGTTTTTTCTCTCTCGGGTGCTTAGTATTCTGATGTTATGATTGACTAGTTTGGCCATTCTGCTAAGCTCAAAAGGAGGCTTCCTAGAGGCAGAGGTCTCTCTGACTGCTCGTTGAGGAAGATGTGCTGCTGAAAGGGACACACACTCCTGAGAGACATGCATTGCTTGGAAAGAGACATAAGAGACATGCATTGCTAAGTGAGACACCAAGGGACATGCACTGCTGGGAGAGAGACTGTGAGAGACTGTTGGCTGAGAGATGGCAGGCTGGGAGAGGGACTGAGAATTTTTCCTGAACTTGAATTATAACCTGGTGCTTCCCTAATAAACCCCATAATCTGTGAGTTCTGTGTGGCCACTGCAGCAAATTATCAAACCCAGAAGAGAGGTGGTGGGTGCTTTGGGTAGAATGGTTGGTGAAAGGGCTGGAGGGAGGCAGCATGTCTGGCCTTGCAGGAAAAGGCCTTGGGTTACTGATAGTGACTCTGTCTTCCTCTTGTGGCGTTAGAGGAGGTCAGGTGATGCCACCTCCTTGTCGCTTTAGCAGTGACTTATACAGTTACTTTTGATTTTGTGATTTCTTGTAAATCCTAACCTCTATATGTTAATGAGAAGCTCTGGTAGCATAGTGCCTAAGGCACTTGACTGCTAACCAGAAAGCTGGCGGTTCAAACCCACCAGCCACTCCTCAGAAGGAAGGTTGGGGATTCCTACTTCCTAGTGATACTGCCTCGGAAACCCAAGGAGGGGTCTCTGTGAGACCGACTCAATGGCAAATAACAAGAACAACAACAACATATGTTAATGACACAGAAACTATGTGAGATGTATTTTGAGTCACAGCCTGATAAAAGAGTGTAACTCTTCACAACCTTACCCAAGACGACACATAAGTCAATACCCTTACTTAAGGCACACACTTTTAGTCATATATTTTATCTTACAAGGGATGAAAGGAGAGAAAAGTGAACAGAGAGATAGGGATCTCACCATCACCAAGAATGTAGAGCTGGGAACTGAATGGTTCTTTTAGATCTAGGGTCCCTGCACTGAGAACCTCTTAGATGCAGAGGAAGATTGATGCCAAGACACATAGAGATCACACACACACACAAAGAAAAAGTGATTGGATAGTGGAAGAAGAGAAATGCTTTTAACCCAGTGGGCAATGAACTTCTCTGAATTGTATTCAAATTATATTCAAATATTTAGGGGAACTTTGTAAGTGATGGGCTTGAACATCACTGAGGAGAGTTCTATGCAAGATTTTAAAGGGACCAAATAATTTATCATTGGCACTTACATACAGTAAAATGCAAGAGGGAAGAGATGGCCTAATGACTTGGGCAAATGCAAGCAGGAAGACACAGCCTTCAAAGTGAACTATGCCAAGTGAAACAAAACACAAAGGTTTAGAAAATTCTGTTTCTGTTATACAAACTATGGACAAGAGTCATAGAATTTTTACCAAGGACATAGCTGCCCAGCCTTTTATTAAAGAGACAATCTGTAACTCATGGATTTATGTAAGAGCTCTAAAACTGAGGCACTTGACTCTTATCAGAATAGTTAGGCCAGGTTTGAGTCTCAACTCCATCTTAGCTTTTGGTTATTTTCCTGGCAACTTTCAAACACTTAAACTTAGGTACAAAATAAAGCATTCTCTTGCAACACTCAAACCCTTATATTCATTTAAGTATATAAAAAAGGAAGTGTTTTCCTCTGTGGTTAACTAAAGATATGGAAAGGATATTCCTAAGGGAGGGTCTTGACACAAGACCTTTATTAGAAATATCTTCAACAACACTGTGGTAGTTAAGATTGTTTTTCAACTTGGCTGGGTCCTGATTTTGAGTGGTCTGACAGGTGGACATAGTTATTTTTCATGAGACTGGATGTGCTACACTCCTCTCCATGGTGGAATATGCTTTGAGCAACTGAATCAGTTGAAATAGAATTGCATTTGGATGTGGCCTGCTTCTAGTATATATAGAAAGTCTCCTACATTTAGTTCAATCTTCATCTCCAGTTCCTGGACTTGAGCAAGTGGCTTGCCATGCTGCCTACTGGTCATAGTATTGTTGCCCTCTCAGCCTATGAGCCAATAATTTGCCATTTTACCTGCTGATCTTGAATTTGTCAGCCTCAGTAGACAGCAAATTCATGAATCAGAAGAAGCCTC